TACTTGTGGCACCTTAGAGACTAACAAATTTATTAGAGCATAAGCTTTCGTGGGCTACAACCCACTTCTTCGGATGCATATTGAGTGAAACATATCGAGGAGATATATATACACACATACAGAGAGCATGAACAGGTGGGAGTTGTCTTACCAACTCTGAGAGGCCAATTAAGTAAGAGAAAAAAAACTTTTGAAGTGATAATCAAGGTAGCCAAGTACAGACAGTTTGATAAGAAGCAAGTGTGAGAATACTTACAAGGGGAGATAGATTCAATGTTTGTAATGGCTCAGCCATTCCCAATCCCTATTTAGCCCTGAGTTGATTGTGTCTAGTTTGCATATCAATTCCAGCTCAGCAGTCTCTCGTTGGAGTCTGTTTTTGAAGTTTTTCTGTTTTAAGATAGCCACCCGCAGGTCTGTCATAGAATGGCCAGACAGGTTAAAGTGTTCTCCCACTGGTTTTTGAGTATTATGATTCCTGATGTCAGATTTGTGTCCATTAATTCTTTTGCGTAGAGACTGTCCGGTTTGGCCAATGTACATGGCAGAGGGGCATTGCTGGCACATGATGGCATATATCACATTGGTAGATGTGCAGGTGAACGAGCCCCTGATGGTATGGCTGATGTGATTAGGCCCTATGATGGTGTCACTTGAATAGATATGTGGAGAGAGTTGGCATCGGGCTTTGTTACAAGGATAGGTTCCTGGGTCAGTGTTTGTTATTTACCGCACACTATCCAAAACTTGCAATACAGGCAGGAAAAGAGAAGCATTTAGTTCCTCAGTCTTTTCTAGGGTATTCATCATCATAGTAACTAACTGCTTCCCTATAAGAGAGCATTATTATTACAAGGATAGGTTCCTGGGTCAGTGTTTTTGTTCACTGAACAAATAGGGATTTATCTTTTTTAAAATGCTTATATACGCCTAGAAAGTGTAAGAGGTGTACGTAATATACGTTAATGAATAAATAAAATGTACTTACTACACTAGCTTGGAATAAGACTAAAAAAGTCAACCAAATGTACGATTTGGTTTTTAAAAAAAAGGGAGATACTGCTATATTTCAGTAATTATCAAAGTAAATATTCTTTGCATAAATTCTCACACAGCTGATGCCAAAGGGGAAGAAAATATGGAAAAAAAAATCAGCCTCAAACGCAAGGTGGACAATATGACTGTGGAAGCTTGCTACAATCCCTTGGCTAAAACCCGAGTAACTATGCATGTTCCTTTTAGCAACTGTTTAGGTAGGAATCTGTTTTTAGAAATGTACACATTTAAAAGCCCGTACAATATAGCTTTTTTTAAGCACACCAACAAACACTATTCTATATTGTCATATACAAAAACTATGTTATAAAGACTATGTTTAAACATTTATTTAGGTTACAAAGTCAAGCAACTGAAAGTTAGGAAATGCCAGAATGTAGCTTGCCCGTACAACCTCAATTTGGCCCCCATGTACACGTACATTATAACAGTCTAATTACATGGTATTTTTCCCCTCAGACCCCCTTCCTCATTCAGTATCTAGGATAGGCAGTGTTCTGGATCTGAAACGGCTGTTCACAATATTTTTAACCTCATCATTCAATTAGTGCATTATTTACCGCACACTATCCAAAACTTGCAATACAGGCAGGAAAAGAGAAGCATTTAGTTCCTCAGTCTTTTCTAGGGTATTCATCATCATAGTAACTAACTGCTTCCCTATAAGAGAGCATTATTATACATATGGCAAAATTAAGGTAAAAAGACTTGCCTGAGCAAGACACAGTAAAACAATGGCAGAGCCATGACTGGGACTCACTCCTGCTGATACTACTACCTTACTACAAAGGGACTGATCACCCATGGCCCAGGTATCTTATTTTATGTTTCAACCAGAAAACAAGGAACTCACAGTTAGTGGCCACATGCCAAAATTGTGTCTTACATAACTTGCTTAGCATCACAATGGAAGACTGTGACCGAAGTAGGGTTAGAAATGAGTTCTCCTATGTGGGATTCACCTGCCTTAACCATAAAATCATCATCTCATTTCCTGCAGTCTCCTACCTTGTTTGCTAATATATCTTCCAACTTCTAGAGCAAATGAAGCTGGGATCCTACAAACAACTTCCTTAACTACATAATTCTGATTCATTCCTTGGGCACTCTCCATCCTGTTCTTAATGAGGCAGGGGTCCTATGGAAACAAATAGTATCCAATTATGTAATTTCAAGACTATCCTCATGCATATGCACAAGGGGGCTGAATTAAGGTTGCATGAGCCATTCCTTACTTTTGAGCACTTGACTTTGCAACCTTAATGTTTTTAAGCAGTTTATGCTGTGTAATATCCCATAGGTTTGTGGGGTTTTTTTAAAAGGAAAAAGGTAAAAAATATCTGTAACAACTCATCATGCATCACTGATAGTGCTTGAACTCTGACCGTTCAGCAGTACAGGGCTCAAGCTACAGGACTAACTGCACTAGCTGGGAGCATGACAAGGCTGGGGTGTGGGAAAGGTAGAATGGCCTACTGGAGTCATGCATGGTAATCAGGGAGAGCTTGCACCCAAGAGATGGGATAGGCATGGTGGATCCAACCTGTAGCGGGCTGTTGAAGGAACCTTAGGCTGGCTCTTGTTCTCTTCCCTACCCCAGGAGATTCGGGAAGCGCCTTATACATGTGATGTCCTGGTGGAAGTGGAGAGAGGTGCAGGGGCCGCATACTGGGTCTGAGGGGTGGAGTTAGTGGAGGGAGCCCTGCCCAGCTGTTTGTTCCACTGGATCAGACCCATATTTTCAGGCCATTAGATTTAATCTGATCTCCTGCATAGTCACGACCACACAACTTCACTCAGTAATTCATTCAGTGAGACGAATATGGACTAGAGCACATCTTTTATAAAACATTCAGTCCTGATTTGAAGATTTCAAGTTACGAAGACCCTATCACATCCCCTGATAAATTACTCCTTGTTAGAAATACAGTATACACTTGATTCCCAGTTCTAATTTTTCTAGCTTTGATTTCCAGACTTCGGATTTATCAGTGGTGGTTTTTTTTTAAACCTTCTTCATAGTAAATACATAAATTTTCCTTTTTGCTTAGTATAAGTTGGGAGTAAATTCAGCTGTAGTTGAGGAACTATTTTGAAAAGTTACAACTGCAGTGGTAACAAGACAAACTAGAAATATACCTTCTATTTCTGTAAAATGGTGGTTTTCAACCTGTGGTCTGCAGACCCCTGGGGGTCCACACACTATGTCTAACAGCAACCTTTTGCAGACCTCTTACCATAGTACAGTGGTTTTCAACCAGAGATCCGCAGACTATGTCTAAAATTTCCAAATGGGCCTGCACCTCCATCTGAAATTTTTAGGGGTCCGCAGATGAAAAAAGGTTGAAAACCACTGCTGTAAAAGTTTACAGGTATTGTTATTTATTCAAGGTTTTCCTCCGTAATCTTCAATTTACAATAAACAATATTCACATTTGAAATGTATAAGCAAGCAACTGGGGTAGCCAATGAACAATCCTTTCATGGCAAAAATATTTTCATCTCAGGTCAGACCTACAAAGCAACCGTAGAAACAGGTTTTCTTCAAACTAAGTAAAATTTGGTTTAGAAGTAAAAAAAGAAAAAAGGTCTCCTTGCTTGTATGTTTCAAAATATACCACTTATATAATGGTGGCCACTTGCTTTCCTGAGCTCTAAACTCTTACTATATTAACAGTACTTTAAATGAAAGTGCCCAATGATGAGAGGCTTTACACTAATAAAATTTGCTGAAGACTTGGTCTCACCTGCATCATTTATCACACTATAAGGCCAAATATAGCAGGGGCAGTTGAGATTCTAGCACAATATAAAGCGAGTCAGAAATTTCAGAACCAGGCAAAGTAATGCAGTTAAGACACCAAAGTATATTGGTACGAATATTCCAGTGAGCTTTCACAATAAAAAAAATCAAACTGACTATGCTGAGAACGATCTAAGCCACAGTAGATTGAAAGTAATCTTTCTTTCCTGTAAAATGACCCAAATACATTTTAAAGTTCTCATTCTAGTAACAGCACTCTGATGCAGATGGCTACAACAGAATATTAACTCTTCATGCCACATTTGCAATTATAATCTTGAATACACTGTCAGGGACAATATACAGTTAATGTACCGCAACTTTGTGCCAATTCCAATATTTAATTTTAAAAACACAGTCAGAACAACATTATAAACCATAGGTTCTTAAAATATTAACCTCTAAAATCATTTCAACTTTAAATACTGAACATTTAAACTATTTGCTTCTCTTTGAAAATTTCTTATTCAGCATAAAGGTGACTGTTCTTACTACTCCTTTGTCAACTCAGTTAAAACGGTTGAAGCAAATTTTTATTGTATGGATGTAGACAGACTTTTAATATTAAAGTCAGTTTTGATTATTATTTCTTCTTTGTATTGTCGCAGCACTTAAGAGTCATGGACCACATTGTGCTAGGTGCTGCTAAGATTAAAAGCTTATTGAAACAGTTTTGACCTGCAAAATTTCTGACTACCATAAAGTATAATTTCTCTTTATGTAAGAGAAAGGTGCCTAAAATATTGAGGCAAGTTCCAAAGTGAAGTAAAAATGGAGTCACATATTTCATCTGCTTCCAGATAGCTGATAATTCCATGTTCCCACCACTTTTACTAATGCAAATGGTGGAATCCTGAATCGTATTTTTACACATAAGTAGGTTTCCAAATATGTCTTTACCATGGTATTTTTAACAAATATTTTGTAGATAAAATTTGAGAACTTCTGAGTATCTTTATTCAGATCACCCACATAGATTTTTAAGACAACTCAATTTTTATAACTCAAAATAAATTTAACGAAGTATGACATCATTAGACATCAATCAAACCTACTTTTCTGTTTTGAATATAGCACGTGTATATTTAAAACAAGTCATTCGATTCACTTAAGGGAAAAATGTGCATTTCATTCTCAAGTTGTCTCTTTGGGTTAATAAACTGTTAAAAATATAGTCCCATCTAGTGAAGCAAGAAAATTTGACATGTGTTAAGTCACTCTAGGCATTGAAAAATGCTCAAATAAAGAGTATCTCAAAATATAAAAAAATCTATTAGGATTTATTCCACTTTTAAAGAAGCAGCTATAATTCCAAAATATCTTCAAATAAGCAACTGGAGTTGACAAAAGTGCTCTTCAGACTTGAATGTACTGGTTGGTGATAAGTGTCCACTTTATCTTTATGTATAGATGTTGTTATGAATTTCATTGGTTGTCACTAATTTCTTCAGTATCTCTGTGCTTTTGGACATATCCTAGTAAAATAAAGAAATAGTCATCACTAGTAGGTTACACAACAGTTCAATCATACTCTTTCCTACACACTCAAAACTTTATTACAGTTAACAGCAATATGATTAAAACATTAACTACAGTAACTCCTCACTTAACATTGTAGTTATGTTCCTGAAAAATGCTACTTTAAGCGAAACAACGTTAAGCGAATCCAATTTCCCCATAAGAATTAGTGTAAATAGGAGGGGGTTAGGTTCCAGGGAAAAAATTTTCACCACACACAAAAAAAAATATATATATATATATATATATATATATATACATACATACATACACACACACACACACACACACACACACACAGTATAAGTTTTAAATAAACAATTTAATACTGTACACAGCAATGATGATTGTTTGAGCTGGTGAAGCCAGAGGGTGGAAGAGAGTAGGATATTTCCCAGGGAATACCTTACTGCTAAATGATGAACTAGCACTCGGCTGAGCCCTCAAGGGTTAACACAGTGTTGTTAACGTAGCCTCATGCTCTACAAGGCAGCACGAATGGAGGGAGGGGAGACACACCATTTGCATGAGACATACATGCATTGCCCCTTTAAGTAGGCTGACCCCACTCTAAGTACTGTGACAGGGTCAGGCCAGATGGCTACAGGAGAGTGTTCGAAGGCACATATATTAGTCCCAGATTAAGTAGATCCCTTTTCCCTGGGTAAGGTAACAGGGGCAATTCCAGAACAAGCAGGAGCTTGCTGGAACCAATTAAGGCAAGGAGGCTAATTAGGACACCTGGAGCCAATTGAGAAGAAACTGCTAGAATCAATTAGGACAGGCTGGCTAATCAGGGCACCTGAGTTTAAAAAGGACCTCACTTAAGTTTGTAGTGTGCATGCGAGGAGCTAGGAGCAAGAGGCACTAGGAGCTGAGAGTGAAAAGGTGTATTGCTGAAGGATTGAGGAATACAAGCATTATCAGACACCTGGAGAAAGGTCCTGTGCTGAGGATTAAGAAGGTGTTGGGAGGAGGCCATGGGGAAGTAGCTCAGGGAGTTGTAGCTGTCGTGCAGCTGTACCAGGAGGCACTCTAGACAGCTGCAGTCCACAGGGCCCTGGGCTAGAACCCGGAGTGGAGGGCGGGCCCAGGTTCCCACCAAACCTCCCAACTCCTAATCAGACACAGGAGGCATTGACCTGGACTGTGGCTTCTACCAGACGGGAAGGTCTCTGGGCTGTTTCCTGACCTACAAGGTGAATCTCTGAAGTGAGCAAATCCGCCAATAAGCGCAGGACCCACCAAGCTAGAGGAGGAACTTCGTCACAACACATTGCCTTTTTAAGTAGATCAGCAAGCTGAGATAGCAACTGCTGCCAGCAAGTTCCCTCTGTCCTGAGCCCTGTTGTGTCCCCCCACCCTGCTCTGTGGGGCGGGGGGGAGAGAGGGACACCCTGACATTAGCACCCCTCTTTCCCCCCCCCCCCCCCCCCTCCCCAACAAGCAGCAGGCTCCCAGGAGCCCCCCCCCCCCGCGGGGAGGGCCCGCGTACCTC